CGGCGTTTTGTTAGTAATTGTTTCGTGACGCTTTCCGGATCGTCACATCAATATTTCCAGTATTACCCTGTAACGCTCTTGTGTTCCGTGCGGGATAGTCTTAGTCGGTATGGTCCAAGGTTAGGCTCAATAAATTTGAAGCAGTGGTATAGGTAGTAAAAAATATAAACTATATTCCAGGATAAATGCTATTTACAAAATATATACAGGTAGAGCGACGCCGCTGGTGTTTGATCGCGTTTTTGCTCACGTTGTGAGTCTAAGTTTACGTCGCGATGACAGCTGCGAGCATCCAGGCCAGCGCACGGTTTGCGGGATGCAATCGGTATCGTTTTGCGGTCTTCTATCGTCCGCTTTGTCTGTGTACTTAGCAGGATTTAAACGTTGATACTAGCTTTTAATCGAGCCGGTTTCGGAACGGTTGTTATCACGATTTGCTTCGCAACTTGTATACGCGAGATGCGTTATGCGGTGTCGGAGCAGTATGCTGACGCGATGAGACGCTTAGCGTCGATTACGCGTATTCGAGAGCGTTCCGATGTGTTGGAGATCTCGGTCGCGTATTCGGTGTAAATAAGGGGAGCGGTGCACTTGGACACGGTGCATTTTGACACTCACAGCACCGTGTGATTAGAGACATTTGTAGGGTCCCTTGGAACAGCGACTTGTGATTGGACTGTGTCCAATTGCCCCGTGTCCAACTGATATACACCCGTAAATAAGCGGGTTAACGGAACGATCTAGGAAGCGGATGTCAACGTCGCGTATCTACCTCGGTCGACAAGAACGGACTAGGTAGCGGAGATCGACGTCGCGTAACCACCTTGGTCGACGGGAATGGACTAAGTAGCGGATGTCGACGTCGCGTATCCAACTCGGTCGACGGGATGTCTAGGAAGCGGTGAGATGTAGAGGTTTGCAACGAGTTCTGGTCGGTTGAGCGTCTCAGTGGAGCTCTCCGGTGGATCTCGTTCAACGTCGTTTTCGCGTCGGCTTTTATACGCGAAATTCGGAAACAGCGAAGCTGTTTGTTGTTTTCGCGGATGTTCAGCGCTTTTGTCTCGCGGTTATTCGGCGTAAACAATTTATTGCTTTATCGTCGTGACGATCGTGACATTGTCTTTCGTGGATCGTCACATTACCCACCCCTTCGCAGTGCCCGTCTTGGGCACTTTAGCCTAACTATTAAACTAACTATTAAACTATTACATTATTTAACTATTAAACCCTATCTATCTTAACTATTAAACAAATTATTGAACTAACCTAAACATATGTAACTGTATTAACTAAATGGTAAATCTTCAACTATATCGCACTCACTAAATACTCTACGTTTTATTTTGCCCTATATATGCGGATCTTATTCGCCCGTATCTGTGAATTTAAAACGCCAGAGTTCTTTGTTGACATACCGACGGTATCGGCGCGACGTGTGCACTGCGTAATATGGCACGTCAATGTATCTGCCGTCCGAGATTTCTACCCGCAGTGGCGGCTCGCTCGCGCGAGTTTCGATCCGGACCTTGTGTTTTAAAGGCTCGTTCGAGATTATTCTCACCGCCGGTGGTGTCTGGTCCATTGGTCGCGGTGTTCGGCTGTTGTTGATGCCGGTCGGAGCTGTTGGCTGGGTGTTGTGTGGATTCTGCGGTGTCTCCTCTCCAGGTGACTGATTTTATCCGCTGTCGGTGTGCTACCGGTTCTGGTATTTTCAGGATGCCCATAAATATCGCGAGTTTTTCTTCTGTGACCCTGGCTGACGGTGGTGTCCTTTAGCAAGCTATTGCCGGTTTCCGCTTGTGGCCTATTGCGTTAGTTGGCGGTCTTTTTCCCGGCGGCAAAAAGGCGTACTGTTGGTTCACTCATTTTTCTTTGATTTCCCTGTAAGAGGGTGTAAGAGGGTGTCCCATAGAGCTTGTTCTTCTGTCTCGTTCCATGTAGTGAGTAAAGTGAGCGATCGTGTCGTCAACGTCTAGATTCTCCATGATCTTCGACTGGTGGCTGGTAATGTTTTCCTGCTCCTTTTATAGCCGAAGTCGTTTTGTATGTTGTTATTTGACTAATGGAATCGTTATTACTATATTCCTTCGCCTGTGTTCTTCTTGAATCTATCTGGCTGGTGTTTGGCCAAATCCGACTTAGATAGTGGTGTCTTTGCTTGGGTAAAGTTTCCCGTTGTGGCTCCCAATTTTCTAGCCACCTTATTAGCTCGCGGTCGATCTCCATGCTAGTAATGTATCCTATTGACTCGCTCGATTGCTTGTCTCCGTTATATTGGTTCGTCTGGTAGTCTAGATCATCGAACTTCCTTTTAATATAGGAATTCCCTCCTCTCGGCTATCTTGTAGAGCCGGAAAAATTGTTGTTTACCTATCGGAGTTGTCCGCTTTGAGGTCGTGAACGTGTATGTGTTTGTGCCATTTGTTGTTTTCGTCGATTAGGTCAACGATTACGGGCGAAATAATTCGTTTTGCCGTTAGTGGTCCTATGTACTTGGGCGCTAATTTCGCATTCACGGCTTTTTCTTTGTTTGATAGCATGTACGCTTTTCTCCACACGATTTCTGGTTTCCAAGGCCTTCTCCTTAGATTATATTTTCCTTGCTTTTGAAAAGCGCGAGCCATGTGGATTCTTACCAGTTCATAGGCCTCACTTAGTTGTTCTCGGAGCTTTGTTAATGTTTCCATTTGAACTTGATTTCGTTTAAATTCGTGTGGTCCTGCAAGCTCTCTACCGTTATTTAGGTATGCTGGCGTATATTCTGTGCCCTCGTTTCATGCCGTATTAAAAGCGAATTTTATCTGGCCTAAGTGTTCGCCTCAGCTTCTGTGGTCATTTTCCACATATTGAGAAAGCATGGTCTTTACCGTTGACTTTTTCCACGGGGTTGCACTGCGAAGTCCAAATCGGTGTCCATCGTTATTGTATTCCCAGGTCCTTGGTAATCTTCTTCATATTACTTAACTTGAATTGAGTCCCGTTATCCGATATTACCATATAGTGTTCAGATATCCATGTCGGTACACGATCTCGTCCAAAAAACTCTGTGCTACAGCCGTGGCCGTTGCTTGGCATAACGGCTTAATTTCGATCCACTTAGAGAATCGATCTTGCATCGTAAGGATCTAGGTGTAATCCTTTTTGGGTCTTGGCAATGGTCCTATTAGATCAAGGGATATCTGCTCCCACGGTTTTTGTACATTGGTTGCGTGTAACTGTCTCGCCGGTTGTAGCTGTGATGTCTTGTGAGCCATGCAGTTTCTACATTTCTTTACATATTGGCTGATATCTCGAAACATTCCTGGCCAATAGTACAGTTGGGCTATTCAACAAATTGTCTTGGCGATCCCTAAGTGTCCTGCCGACGGATCGTTGTGATATCTCTGAAGTATCTCTACTCGTTGATCGCGAGGAATGCATCGTTTCCACTGGTTTTGACTTGATACTTCTTTGAAGTCGAGACTATGTAGAATATGTCTGTATAGATTATCGTCTTTTAATTGGTAATCAGGATATAACTGCGGTTGATCTATTACCTGTTTGTACCATTGGCAATCTATTGTCGGCTGTATTGCGGCGACTACCGGCTGTCGTAAAAGCGCATCGGCCACCTTGTTCATACTACCTTTTCGATATCGTATGTTAAAAGTGTACTGCTGCAATTCGAATTTCTACCAGCCTAAGCGTCCATATGGCAATTCTAACTTCTGCAACCATCGTAACGATTGATGGTCGGTAAGCACGGTAAATTTATACCCTTCTAAACACCGCATCTTACGGATTCCCTATACGACTGCAAGGCACTCGAGTTCAGCCGCACTATAATTTTTTTCGACCTTGTTTAGTGCCCGACTTGGATAGGCTATAATCCGTTCTCCTTCTTTGAATACTTGTGTAAGTACGGCTCCTAGTCCGTGAGTGCTTGCGTCAATTTGAAGGATGAATTCCTGGTTAAAGTCTGGACACGCTAGAACTAGTACGGTGATTAACGTGTTTTTTAATGTTTGGAAAGCTTTTTCCTCTTTTTATTCCCATTTCCATTTCGTTTTCTTCCTCGTCAATTTCGTTAATAGTGATATGATTTTTAAGAATCCTGCAATAAAACAGCGATACTATGACGCCATGCCCAAGAATTGGCGTATGTGGCGGACGGTTGTCGGTGCTGGCTATTTTTCTACTGCATTCGTTTTCTCTGGATCTGTTCTAATTCCCTGTTTGTCTACTATGTGTCCTATGTACTTTAAGCTGGGTCGACAAAAATGACATTTTTCTGTGTTAAGTCGGAGGTTTGCCTTCCGCAATCATTTGAATACTTCCTTCAATAGAGTTAAGTGTTGTTCGAACGTTTTGGTGGCGATAATTATATCATCTAAATATACATTCTCTTGTACATTCTCTTCAAGTTCCAGACCTATAATCGTGTTTAATAGTCGTTGGAACGTTGCTGGTGCGGAGTGTAATCCAAAAGGCATTACTTTGAATTGTTTTAATCCTCCACCCGGTACTGTAAAAGCGGTAACAGCGCGGCTTTCCAGTATAAGCGGTACTTGCCAGTAACCGTTCTTTAGATCCAACGTCGTGAGGTATGTAACTCCTCTCAGTTTGTCCAGCGTTGCAGTTATTTGCGATAAGGGATAGGCATCCGTTTCGGTTACTTCGTTGACCTTTCTAAAGTCGATGCAGAAGCGGTGCTTTCCGTCCTTCTTTTTCACTAAAACAATAGCCGAACTCCATGGATTTTGTGATGCCTCAATTATTCCAGCTTTTTCCATTTCGTCCACTTCTTTATCGATTATGCTCTATATTGCTGGGTTCCTTGGTCTGTAGCGCTGTTTTATCGGTTCTGTTCCTGGTTTCACACGGATCTTGTGTTGTAGTATTTTTGTCGTGCCCTGAATATTTTCGAATTTCTGGAATTCGTTCTGCAGAAATCGTTCTAATCTCTGAGTTTCTTTGGCTGTGCGCGGTTGCATACTTCGGATATTATACATGTTCTTCTCTGAACTCTTTGATGTATCCCTGTCGATGGCGGTAACGTTATCCGCAGCTTTGCCCACAAGTCCACTCCGTTCAGCATCGGGCTTTCGAGGTTCGGTATGATGTCGAAGGTGTGTTAATATTGTTTCTCATTTATAATCACTGGTAGATCGATCTTCCCTTGAATCTTTATGCTTGCTCCGTTCGCCAGGCGTATCGTCTTGTTTCTTTTATGTATCAAATGTTGCCACTTCTCCGCTAACCTTGCGGTTCTCTGGTTTATACAAGAGATTTCGAATCCGGAATCAATTAATGCGGTAATCGGTGTCCTGCATATCTTCATCCTTACATAAGGGCGCGGGTGTATATTATTCGCGGTGTTTCTGGGACCGAGGTTCGCCCTATTGTTCCTCGGTCCGTGTGGCGTTTTCCGGACGTGGGTGGCAGTCTTTTGTAAAGACTTCGTCTCTTCCGCACTGAGAGTAGAACTTTTTCGGAGGTTGTCGACAAAATTTCCTGATATGCCCCCTTTGTTTGCAACGCCAGCAACACTCCGCGGCGTTGCTGCCGTTGCTGGGGTTCGCGATACTGGACGTGTATTTGCGCGGAAGTTCCTCCTTTGTTGCTCAATGTCTTCTATTTCCGCTGCTTGCGCTCCTAACTCTCCCAATGTATGTACGCTCTCTCTTCTAATGTATAATTTTAATTCTGGTGACATATTCTCGTATGTTTGCTCTATCTGATCTCTTCTCGAGAATCCTTTTGCTCTTCTTATAAGTGTCGCTAGTTCTGTGGCGTATTGTCTGAACATTCGTTTGCTTGCTGCAGCCGCCTCTGTACCTCTATCTTTAATTGTGCCTTATATCTGTACGGGACGTATTGTTCACGAAATGCGTTCGTAAAGTCGCTCCAATCTTTCCACAATTTTTTGCTGTTTCTGTACCAGTGTAAGGTACTTCCGCGTAATAGTTCAGGTAAGTCCCTGTAACATTTGTTCGTCTGTATATTCGTAACTATTCTGTAGTTCTTCAATTCGCTCCAGAAAAGATACCGGATCTTTCCCATCGAATTGACATCCCCATTTGCGTATCTGATTTATCGTTTTCGCAATTGCAGTGGAGTCGTTTCTGTATACTATTTCCATTTCTCGACTTGTTCCCTCGTCTTCTGATCTATTCGCGAAAAATTGCGGATTATCGGTCACGTATTTGCTCAATTTCCCTCTCAATTTGTCTAAGGTGGACAGTCCTAGTTCTGCCATTTTTTGAATTATTTAATCTTTCGTTAATACACAGATCCACTGCTTCATTTTTTCCCTCTGAGCCTGTTTTCTTTGTAACGTCTCTTCTTTCTATCGCCGGATTTCGCTCGCCGGAGTCCGGGTTCGCGTGAGGGAAGATGAGAAAAAAAGCTCGGTTGATATTTACAACTTAGATTTATTCAGGACGTCTGAAAGAAGTGTTATGTACAAAGCAGTATTTACAGTGTGTATAGACGCTATAGTCGTGGTGCAGAAGGCACGACTACGGCACGCGGAGTGACGGTTGCGAGGGCAACGTACCCGATCGCGGGGAAGTACGGTCGCGTCGACACGCGGTTCCTCAGGAGTTAAGAACGACGATCGATTGAATCAGCAACACGGTCGTCGAGGGTGGGAACGATGTTCCCAGGAGTCAGGAGCGACGACCGATTGAATCGGCAACACGGTCGTTGAGGGTGGGAACGATGTTTCCAGGAGTCAGGAGCGACGATCGATTGAATCGGGCAACACGGTCGTCGCGGTTGGGAACGATGTTCCCCAGAAGTCAGGAGTGACGATCGATTGAATCGGCAACACGGTCGTTGAGGGTGGGAACGATGTTTCCAGGAGTCAGGAGCGACGATCGATTGAATCGGGCAACACGGTCGTCGCGGTTGGGAACGATGTTCCCCAGAAGTCAGGAGTGACGATCGATTGAATCGGCAACACGGTCGTCGAGGGTGGGAACGATGTTCCTAGGAGTCAGGAGCGACGACTGATTGAATCGGGCAACACGGTCGTCGCGGTTGGGAACGATGTTCCCCAGAAGTCAGGAGTGACGATCGATTGAATCGGCAACACGGTCGTCGAGGGTGGGAACGATGTTCCTAGGAGTCAGGAGCGACGACTGATTGAATCGGGCAACACGGTCGTCGCGGTTGGGAACAATGTTTCCCAGGAGTCAGGAGCGACGATCGATTGAATCGGGCAACATGGTCGTCGCGGTTGGGAACGATGTTCCCCAGGAGTCAGGAGTGACGATCAATTGAATCGGCAACACGGTCGTCGAGGGTGCAAAAGAGAGGACGACGATTTAATCGGCAACACGTTCGTCTTCTGTGCGAAAGGAAGGAGGACGACGATTAAATCAGCAACACGTTCGTCCTAGAGGATGGGAACGGTGGCGGTTGAATCGGCAACTCGTCACCAGGAGGGCGTAGTCAGGGATATTCTCTCTAACCGATCTCGGATGAGACCAGTCGACGACTCTTGCCGGTAGCGGCTGAGTGTCCCCTTTATATCGTGTCGGCTCGCAAAATTTAA